AGGTATGTGAGTTTGGATGTTCGAGATAATCTCCGGTAGTACTTAACTTTTTTAAATTTCCAAAACGAAATATACAAAGTGCAAAGTTTTCAGTCATAGATTTGTATACAATATATTATTTTCGTAAACGAATTCTCGGGTTCGATTTTCAATCAGGACAATTTAGGAGACAAACTTGTCTGAATTTCCTAGGATATGGGTTTTGGGTTGTGAACTTAACTATTCGTTGCTTGATCTATAACAAAGGGTCTAGCTTGAAGGTCAGGTTATTGGTATGATCTTATGCCACTTCTTAATTTATCAATAGTTTTGTAAGCACACATTATATTTAAATGTAATATATATGTAATAACTACCGATTGAACTTACGTGTTATTGGATTGAAAAAGCTCGACTAGTTTCGGTATCAATTCGTGACCCTTAATCATGAGCGGCTGTGATGTAAGCGCGAGCCTGACTGCGCGCCGCGGCCGCTGAGCGTGAGGTATAGACGCTCGCAGTACTGTCGCAGTTAAGAAAGATGGCTTTCGGAACTCTTCGGATTTGAACGGCCGGGCTTCCTCTTTGTTTGCCATGTTCTTGTCACCGACTGTGCTGGTAAGTTATTATTACTGTTATCAGGTTATAAAAAAATTTAACAGGTTTATATATTAGGGTGGGATATGACAGTGAATTTACTAGGTATAGAGGATAAACACCTGAGTCCTAAGGAATGCCAACGCATGGAGGGTATCATGAGTGAAACAGTATACTCTGTTATGTCCATGGTGTTGCTCATGTCTATAGGCGACGGTTACCACTTTCCATCAGGTAGACCGTCAGCTTGTTTGTCATTCTAAGTTGCATAAAAGAAAATATTAGGGGAGAAAACTATCCTGTGCTCGGCATTTAAGAGGTCAATGACCTAAAATTAATAATTTGTAAAAATGTTTAAATACAACTTCACGTGTTTCTGAGAAAGGATGACTTGAAAAGGGTGAAAAATCATTAGAAACCTTTGGATGAAAGCAATAAAGATTGTATTTCTTAGCAACATTCCCCTCGTTACGGTGCCACTCAGTCAACAGCGACTGTTTTTAATCACTTTCCCTGTGTCGGCCATTTTTAATTACAACATAAGTCAATAATTATGATCATTTTAAAATATCTCTAAATCTTTGTTCCATAAATAATTATTTTTAATCAAAAATAATGTGGATTAAATAATTAATTTCAATACATAATTAGCACAACCTATTTATGATTGTTATGTATTTGCTCCAAGAAAAATAAATGGTTTAATTTTATTAAATATATTACAAATACCTATGTCCTTTAATAATCTCTAATAATCTCCTTCAATAGAAAAAATATAAAAAAAATACGTTTATATTATAATAATAATTATATTATTTATAATCATATTTTTAATAAAAAATAAAAACATATATTTAAATATTTCATATTATTGCATGTACTATATCTTTATATTTCTATATGTGTTTAAAAATGAATAGAATTTTCATTGTGCCTTCGATCAAATTGTAATTATTCCTCTCTATTTACTTATTTTATTTAACTCTTTATTGCACCAGAAACATAAAAATAAACAATGACATATAAACAGTTCAAGTGAAATACAGTAGCATAAATTACAGATTAAAATATATTTATAAAGGTATAAAAAGCGGTATTATCGCTAGGGCAATCTCTTACAGGCAAATTTTGGTTAAAAGAGAACAGATAGGAGTGGATCGGTGGCGCTAGGGTGAATTAATAATTTATACGTATGCTATAATGACCAAAAACAGCAAATACATTTTATTTATTAAATTACTATGTATATATATATATATACATAGCATACACAAGAAAATGTCTATCCAAAGGTTGTCTAAAAGACATCGCTTTTAGCAATAAGGCCGTTGTTTTTTCAGTGTTATCTCTTCTATTGTCTATGTTTATAATAAATTTACTACTGTGATCTCTTGAAGTGAACAATATATTATTATATAAGAATTTATTTATTTATTTATATAAGACACACTAACAATATGTTCACAATAATTACACAGACTAGATACAATGCTATAAATAAGCTTAAGACTAGATGAACATATCAATTAGAGGCGTATACAGCTCTCACAGGTACGTGTTAATTTATATTAAGGTAGCAATCATACAATTAGTGAAGACTTAATTATTAATTTATACTATTAACAAGCTTAATAAATTGCTTTAAGAAATTGGCAAATTTTAAATACATGCTCATAAGAAAAATGCGGATCAGTTAAGATACTTTTCCTTTTTAATGTCGGTTTAACACATAATGATTTATCGCCATGTAGTCCCGGCATAGAATAGGCCACCCCTTTCTTTCCCATGGGTGTTGTAAGAGACGATTAAGGGCAGGCGACGGCTGGGCAGCAGTGTCCCTCTTAAAACATCTCCAAAGCGTAACTGCGGCTGCCAATCCGCCTATCAAGAGTGGCAACTTCTGGCAAAACCCCTCAAGGAGGAGGCATATGTTCAGCAGTGTACAGTTAAAAGCTGATGTGATGACGATTATTGAAACTGACAATAGAACACATTCTGAGATGCTATGTCTTTAAACCTAACTCTTAACCTTTTGTTATAATTTGACAGTTTCACGAAGTTACTGTTTTATAATTTATAAACGACATTTAACCAAGAGGCTACAGCATGGGGTTCTTTAAAAGGGGGATAAAGAGGTTTCTTCGGTGTAAGCAACGCACGCGTAATACCTATGGTACTGCAGGTGTTCATAGGCTACGGTAACCACTTGCTATCGGGTGGGCCGTATGCTTGTTTATCACCTCAGTGGTATAAAAAATAAATAAATAAACGAATCTTATATGGCTTAAAATTTTTTAATATTAAAAAAATCCAAAATGTACAGTCTGATAATAAAATTATATATTTTACTGAACTAACTTGTGGAATTCCTTATCACTGGTTATTTGATTAGAATTATTTTGTTTAATTCCGCTACCGTTAATATGTATGGACACACGTACTAATGATAGCGGAATTAAACAAAATAATTTCAATCAAATAACTTCTAAAACTGTACTAGAAAACAGGACGCAACAGCATGGAAAGCAGAGCGCATTAATTCAAATTATGCGCTCATTTCTAACCAGCCAGTGACAGTTATTGTCAAACGTGCGGAAATATTCTTAAAAAAATAACAAAAGTATAACATCCAGACACGGAGTTATATTTACGGTTTATTTGGTTTTATTTGCACCTTTTTTATTTATTTTATTTATTTACTCATTATTACACCGCTCAAGGAATAGTACAAAACTTATTGGGTATTGTTCTATTTTTAAATTTATATTTCATTCATTTTTAAGCAATTTTTTTTTATTATAAGAAGTTAGTCAAATCAGAGTATAATAATATAATATATTTATACATATTCAGGTTTTTGTACACCTAAACCTTAACATGATTTATTAAGTTTCCAAGTTTACAGAATTACATGTCAGTTCTCCTTTTCAACCCCTTTACATGCATGCAACAAGGATTTATTGTTGCGTGTATGTGAAGAACTTATTTTATAAATATAAACTTTTATTATTTCAGTAATTTATGGTATCATGATGAAGTCCTAGAAACCATTGACAAAAGAATGCAAACTTCATTATATATAATAAAATAATATTTATTTAAGAAACATTAATTAAAAGCATTTTAAATCGTCATTTTTTTATTACTCTACGACGTCCAACTGGAGTGCTATTTCAACTGAGAAGAACAAACAAGGAACTCAGAAGTCGTTTCAAACAAAAATTGATATTAAAATTAATAACAGTAGTATCTTGTATTTTTATGATAGCATTTAAAAATATAATTTATATTAATTTATCTAAGTTATAACCGATATACAGCATTTTTTAACCCGTAAGTCGCAATAGTCGGCTAAAAAACCATTTACAGAAATTACTGGGTAAGGGAACAGGCATAACACTGACTGACTGACTGTTCTCAGAAATAGCAACACATAAGGGCTACCATGAGCATCGCATCGCATTGTATTATGTCTATGATACTGTTCATATTTATAGGCGACGGTTACCACTTTCCATTAGATAGGCGGCCAGCTTGCACTTCTAAGTATAAGAAAAAAGGCGTGTAATAAAAACACACACAACTTTTAAAAATGTATGTGACTTAAAAAAAAAGTGTCTTATCCTCAAACTTCTTTCACATTCGTCTATGCGCTATAGTGGTTCTTTTACCATTTATGCTACTAGATTATAGTATTCTTTATATATATATATATATATATATATATATATATATATATATATATATATATATATATATATATATATATATATATGTGTGTGTTATTTGATTAAAATTGTGACAATATTGTACACCACTCTACCCGCTGACATTGATGTTCCTTTACATTTTTGGTTCGCTGGAAGAGAACTCTTTTAGAGTTAAGCTCGCTTTTGTACATTTGAACACCCCTGTCATATTTTTGTTTATAATTAGTGTGTACAATAAAGTATTAAATAAAGAAATAAACATATGTTTTCCTATTTGTAATACTGATTGAAATTTAAGTGTAAATCATGAACGTAATCTTTTAAAAACAAATATTGCGAGCTGCGACACTTTGCCGTTTAGAGCTGATCACAATTTCAGCCACGTTCCATTTTAGCCCTTTTCACAAAGCACTTATTTTAATTAATCTCCGTTACACGTTCCGTGCCTTCCATTACTGAATTTTTGGTCCGAATTCGAATGAAAACGAGCTTAATTAGACCTATTTCTCATACAAACCGCCTGGCATTCCTCCCAAGAGCGCGTAGTCCGCTGCGCGTTTACGGAATACACCGCGAATAATTTATATAACGTATTCCAAGACGTTTACGTGCATGTTTGCTTTCCACAATTTATGCATTGCGCAATACGGTCGCGAAATAAATATTTTTATGGGAGAATTTCTGACTAAAATTATGGTACCATGGTCAGGGGAGAGCGGGGTGTATAGTTCACGCAAACTCTGCGCCCATAAGCTTCTCAGTTGGCACGACGCGAGTTCGTGTCTGGACGTGGCGGATCTGTGTTCTGAATTCGAAATATTTTGAGATTTCGAAATATTCGAGTTATGCCAGTGTGTTACTGTGAAGGTGGCAGTGTTTAAACCTTGTGTATCTATTGTACATAGACGAAATATGGAATGGTTGTTCGGAAGTTTGTTTTTTTAAAAGTCAACGGATCTTCAGATGGTAAGTTTTAATTTTAAACTCGAACGTTTATACTCATTTGCATTTCGAATTCGGTAATTTATTTACGGTATCGTGTAAACATTTCTTGCGTTATTTGTAAGTAAAATTGGATTTGGTTATCGTATTTATTATCGCGTTGAATGTAAGATTTATTGTTTGTAATTTTTATTCACATGTTTAAATTTATTAATGTATCTATTAATTATTACATAATTACTTATTATTATAAGAATTTTCTAGCAAATGCATGTTACGGAGCACGATATATTTGTTACATGTAATTTTGTTTATAATCTATTATTGTGGTATCAAAAAAAAAAACATGTTTAACATGTATATTATTTTGTAAAAACTTATAACATGTTAATATTATACTTGTATAAATAGATAATAAAATGCGATTTTAGAATATAAAATGCAGGTAATTGATTTTAAAGAAATTTCTATTTACTTTAACCATCTTATTATTATTTATTATTAAGTAATAGTAAAGATTCATACTATACTAAATATATATCGCTTGTATGTATATATATATATTGTACATTATATTATATATAACATATACATATTACCTTTCTGTTTCCTCTATATTACAATATAGAGTTATAGCTTGTTTTTTTTTTTTTTGTTATTTTAATACGGTTAAATCTTTGTTATAATAATATTTTATCCATTTATTTCTCTATGTATTTATGATATGTATATATTTATTTATTTAATATACTATGTGTATGTTTATATTAGTCTAATTATGTGTTATAAACATATATACGGCTATATTAAGAATTTCTTTTCATATTTACTTAATTCAGTAATGCACTGCCTACTTATTTCTCGGTTTGCCTAATGGTTGACTGGTAGAGATCACCGTTCGGTATTAAGTCCGCCATATGTACATAGAATTTCACTGTGCAATAAAGTTTAAATAAACACATAATGAAAACAAAAACAGTCTACAGATACTATAGCTGAATAATTAAAAAACATAATAAAATATTATTTTAGAATACGAAATCTAAAAATAAGTAAAATTTTTTTGAGAAAATTCTTATTTACTATAAGAATTAATATTCTTAAATCTTCACCATCTTTCTTTTTTTAATTTATAGTCATTTAATAGAAGAATGTTCATAAGGAAGTATAATTGGGTATGAAGAGACATCATCGTCTGGCAATTTTTAAAAATATAATTCTATTTTCAACGAAATATAGGCATATGTTATTTTCATTACAATTATAGCAGGTGACAAATGTTTAATATAATAAAGTGATTAATTAATAAGTAAATCATAGAATTAGTTGTTAAATAAAAAAAAAAAACTATTTCATAGTTTACTTTTGACGTTTCCAAATACTTTTTATTATTAAATTTCAATATTTTGGTGATAATGTAATAAGAATACCGTTGCTAAATAATATTTTTTTGCTGTTAGAAGTCGATTGCTTGGGCACCTCTGTCCCATTCGTGTTTCTACTGTGAAGCAGTTGTGTTTGCATGGCTGTGTTTTGGTTTGAAGGGTGGGAATTTACAGGGTACAGAGGAATAACATTTGAGTCCTCAGGAATGACAACGCATGGGGGGTATCATGGGCGAAACAGTATATTCTGTTATATCCACTGCTCATGTCTATAGGCGACGGTTACCACTTTCCATCAGATGGGCCGTCAGCTTGTTTGCAGCAAGTTGTATAAAAAAAAAAGCTTTAAATAATTTAGTTCGTACATGCAAATTGAAAAATATTTGTTTTTGAAAATTGACAAAAAAAATCTTTTATCAGCTTGCCATTTATGAAATTTGACATACATGTAATATTTGTAATTGAGTTAGACATGGGCTCTTTTTTTTATTCTGGTCAATAAATATATCCCGGTCACTTTGACGAGGTTGCGACACAGTATATTAGTCCTTATTTACAGTTTTAAATTTCTATAACATATCAGCTATTATTAGCTGTTCACTGTTGAACATAAGCCTCTCCCTTGGAGTTTTGTCAGTAGTTGCCACACTTGGCAGATGGGTTGGCAACTGCAGTTAGGTTTTGATGGTGTTTCAAAAATAACGCTATTGCCCATCCTTCAACCATTAAATTCCCTTAGGCGCTTCTTACGACAATCACAGGAAAAGAAGGGGTGGCCCATTCTATTTCGGGACCAAGCCTTAAATTTCCATACAAATTAGTTATCCACAAATTCCTACTGATGAGTTTTGGGTCTGGGTAACCTCTTGTAAATAGTGTATTAAAATAAACCATACATCAAATTTTAAGTTAGATTTTCAGGAATAAAACCACATTTTTGGTTCAATAGATTTTCGTAGTAGAAAAAACATCTTAAAAGATATTGTTCTATAGCCCTTATTAAGGTCCTTATAATCCCTCCTATTACATTATGAAAGTACATTGGTGATAATTTAAGTATGTAAATATATTTTTAAATATCTCTCTTATACATAGAAGTCGTCTAAATACAACTTTATTACGAATACATGATATACATTTTAATCATAAGCACCTGTTGTGGATACTTAAAGCTTTCTTAAGTACAAGTTTATCGTACATAAATGAATGAAATAAGAAACATAAATCATATAATGTTTGGTTTATCTTGTTGTAATTTATTTATGTATAGTGAACCCTTCTACTGACCTCGCCATAAATAAAAGATGTCTAGACATCTTCCGAAGCGTCCAAAATATTATAATAATACAGACATGTCTAATATTATTTACTTTATGTAAATATTAGGCATATGGCTATAGTATACTACTCAAAGGGAGTATTTGGGCATGTGTGTGTTGGTTTGCCCTTGCCTTGGGTAGTTCCAATTTAATTTTACTACTAGATTTGCAGTAATAACGAATTGTTGTTGAAATTATGATTTTTAATATTGAAACTATATTAAATTTAATATTGAAATATATATATATATATATATATATATATATATATATATATATATATATATATATATATATATATATATATATATATATAAAACGAAGAGGTGACGGTATATAAAAGCAATTCAATTGTAACGAACGACGTGAATGTGGCTGCTAATTAGTGGGTCGTCGCAATTTGCTTCACACTTCACGCTCCTTTCAGCAACCATAGATTATGCAGTAACAGGGAGTTCGTAAGTTATAGACTAGTCTATTTTAGAATAAAAAAAATTACGTTTTTAAAATATGACTTTTATTCACTAAATAATATAAAATAAAGTCGAATCCCGTCTATCACTGTGTATGCTTAAATCTTTAAAAATACACAAGCGATTGTAGTGCGGTTTTTTTTTAATAGATAGATTAATTCAAGAGAAAGGTTTATATGTATAATACATGAATAATATAGTAGAAGAACACTCATAATTTTAGAGGTATCTAATATGATGTCATAATGTAATGGGGGGCCGGCGACGCTATTTAGTATCAGCATTTCACTTGTGCGAAGCCGGGGCGGGTCGCTGGTTTAAAATAAAATGTTAAATTGTAAATATACAATAACATTTGACAACGAAACATGTAAAAAATCTAATAGTGCCAAAAAATATTAATAATCAACGAAATAATATAATTAAGTATACACGTGATTAAATTTAAAATATTTGAACTTAGAATGCGGAATCTAATAACTGTCACTATAAAAAAAAAATATGTCATCTTTTTCACCACCACTGCCCTTCAAATGCTTTCTGTTTTTACCCAATGGTAAGCTAGTAGAGAATGCCATATGGCATTAAGCTCGATAAAGTTTTATTACCTAATATAGAATAAATGACCAAATAAATGTAATGTCAACTCGTTGGTATAAGATTTCGTGTTTTTGGACTTCCTACTATAATAAAAAACAAAAGCTTCGATCGAGATTAAATGAATATAGAATTAATATGAGAGTAAATCTCATACATGTTTGATGGTGTACATGACACGTGGTGTACATGTTTAGCTTATTTTTTAAGGCCTCACCTACCATTCCATTCATTCTTTAATTCCTTCTACTCAAAGGTTGTCTGAAAGAGATTGCTTAGGCCTCCTTTTTTATACTACATTATTCTCATTGAAAATCCTTCAACAGTTACTGTAATATTGGTACAATAAAGTGTTAAATAAATAAGCATATTTATTGAATACTTTTTTTGTAAAAATAAATTATCGATTTAAGTAAAATTATTAAAAAAAGTTTAAAATTTAGCCAGTTATTTTGATTCGAAATAAACTGTAGACCTGATTTTTAAAAAAATATATGCAACCAATCTGAAGGTATGACTAAAGGTACAAAAATTAGATAAAAAAAGAAGATGTTTCCAAATTGTTGTATTTTTATAAACTCTTTATAAATGACGAAGTTATGAGGTAAAAAAACAGAAAAAAAGAATTACAACCGAATTTGAACTTTTTTGGAGGCTGTAAAGAAACAAAATTTGTAAGAAAAAATATTATTGATAACTTTTTTTTTTTTTAAAAAAGTATAATGTTACACACAGAAAGAAAAATACTTTCTTCAAATTCGAATTGAAGGAAATTTCCTCTTTCAGATTATTTTCAAAGCTCGTACCCGCCAGCAGATAATTTTTCAAGCACAGTCGTAATCTACCTATTAATATTAAACACGAAACGAGGAAAATGAACAGAAAAATATTTATGACTCATAAAACATTATCTGATTGTAATAGGCTTACAGCAAATGCGGGCAATATACTCGTATGTTGTTACAATACAGTAAACGGAACGTGGCAAGGTAATACTGCCTAGTATTAAAGAAGGGACTGCTTTTACTTTACAGCCGACTTCAAAAAGAGGAGAGGTCATATTAATAAGATAGGATTAATAAAAAAAAAGTCTTGAATAGTGTAAAGTAGACATTTGTCAACATTCGCTGTCATAATCAACGTATCACGACTAACACCATGCACGTCTCAAATTAAATAAATGACTGTAGGGCAATAGATTTATATAGTAATTCAATTATGTAATCCCAACTATACATGTATATATGATA